GGCTAGTGGTTCAAACCCACCAGCCACTCCTCGGAAGGAAGATGGGGCAATCTACTTCTGTAGTGATACTGCCTTGGAAATCCAAGGGGGGGTCACTATGAGTCGGGTCTGACTTGATGGCACATAACAACAGATGTTTTAAAATTTAGTTATTATTATTTTTTTAATTGTGATTTGAGTGAATCATTTTCTATACAGCAGTTCATACACATTTTGTCTCATGACATTGACTGCAATTCCCCACAATGCAACAGCTCCCCTCCCACTTCCTCCCTGTAGTCACCTCTTCCCTGTGTCCTTCCCTCCCAGGCACTCCTGCCCCCTGAGCCGTGTTCCTGTGCGAACACTGCCCTTCTGATCTTCCACGATTGATCGATCGATGGATTTGGTGAACCATTCTAAAATCTACCAGATGTAAATGTTCACCCTATATGCCTATTGCTTGGCTGGAAACCACTTCCGGACCTGAAGGGTCACTAGGGGCTACAGTCTCAGAGGTCTCACCAGGCTCTATCAGACCAGTAAACCTGGTCTTTTTAATGATTTGTTCTGTTTGTGGTGACCGAACCCTGTCAAAGGCGGAAAACTTTCGCGATCTGGAGGCAGTCCCGTGGAATCCCATCTGTCGCATATGTCACTGAGTTAAACTTTGCCAAATGACTATGTGGTTTGTGTCTCCTGTCTGGGTCATGACTGAGACACACTCCATGAAGTCTCTAAGTGGATGCTAAGTGTCTTCACACTACGGTAGTATCAAAGCCTTTTCAAGTTTTAGCAGGACACATTGCCATCCAGCTAAAGACTACATCTCCCAGGCTCCTTTGCAACTCAGTGAGATCACATGACTGTGCCTAAGCACTGACCAATGAGATGTGGGTGGAACAGAGGCACCTTCTGGGTCACACCTTACAAAGGAAGTTGCTCAGCCTCTGCTCTCCGGCTCTTTTCCCTTTTCCACCAGCAGGATTATGAACGTGGTTTTGGTAAGAAGATGCAAGCAGGCTGGGAGGAGGTTGTATCCCTACGTGACTGCTTGGAAGCGAGCCACCTGCCAGCCCACCTGCCTCAGGACTATTGCTGAGGAAAGAAGTCAGCTTATTTGTTTTCTTGAGGCCTTTTTGTTACAGCAGGTCAGCCTGTTGTTGTTGTTGTGTGCCGTGGAATTGGACCCGACTCATAGCGACCCCTCCTTGGGTTTCCGAGGTGGTGTCACTACAGAAGTAGATTGCCCAACCTTCCTT